CGCAAGTGGCAAATCCTTTTCGATGCATAACATGCAGGTGTACGTTAGACGCATGGACAACATCTGACCGTGTCGCCAGCATACAATGTCATCATATGTTTACCCCACAAGTTACACACATGCACAGTAGAAGCACAATGGAAGCAATGGAAAAGTACGATGTGGTTGCTGAAGCATCTTCACACTTCAAATTCAGACTTCAATGTGGTCGTCACGGGATGATATACCTGCAAGATACAAGTGATGAAGAAAGAAAGCAGAAGGTCGTGAGGTAGGCAATGAGTAGTCCTTTCCCAAAGATGCCATAGTTTTTCGCAACTTATGCTTTTCGCAACCGTGCCAAAACAAGTGCTAGTTGCTGAAATCGCATCCATATTTTCAGAAAAAGCTAAAAAGTTGCCAACATCGCAACTCAAAATTGGAGAGTTCTTGTGCAAAACCTACAAAACAGGGAGCAGAAATAGCAGAAATGCAGCGATGCTGCGACAGCAAACTCGTACACCCCTTCCTGCTGTGAACCACCATTTTACACATTGCCAGTAGCCTGTTGCATGAATCCTACATGTACATGTACATCATTACAGTGCACGTAAAAGGGAATGCACATAATTATCGTAACTACCGTTGATCTACTGTTTCTCAGAAATGAGCCTGAAGGCAGGCGAGAAATGAGCGAGCACGAGTATGTATTAATTGTCCAACAATGCAACATGTAGTCGGTGACTTGACCTTTCGACCCCATGCCATGGGGCCAATTGCGCCAAGGTTGCGGAGAAGTTGCGAAATAGTTCCGAAAAATGAAGAAAGTTGTGAAAGTTGCGATTTCTTCCTAAACACCGAAAAGTTCCGAAAAAAGTGGCGAGCATCTTTGGGAAAGGGCTAGCTATGAGACACCACAAACGGGTCACCTACATGTATGTTCAGGGCTAGTGCACTCACACGGAGAATTGTCATAATCGAGCATTTCCCAAACTGAGAAGTGCAAAGAAATCCACTTGCATGCACAGGAGCAATTTTGCAATATTATGATGCGCAATTCGACACGATCTGCGATGCTGCGTGCGATGTGCCCTGCCGTCATGATGGTGACAGTCACCGCGGTATGTTTTGTCAACGTCGCCCTTGCACTCTTCTGTCAAGTCCAAAGTGCTCACATACTTGGCAATGTCTTTGCAGTGATTAACTTTTATCCTAGTTATGTCACGGGTAACTTTAATGAAGTACCCGCAGGCCGTGTCGATCCGCACATCGTCCACTCTCTCATATACTTGGCCTGCTTTGTCTGTGTATCCATTTCATGTGTGATCCACAAAATCGACTAGACAGTGGGTGCAATACGCTCTCTATCTGAAGACGTTCTTCTGGCGACATCTCGCCATGTACTTGGCCTGCTTTGCCTGTGTATCCATTTTCATGTGCGATCAACAAAATCTCAATGCACTACAGAGACTAGACAGTGGGTGCAATACGCTCTCTATCTGAAGACGTGAACCATTACATTTTTTGGAAAAGTTATACGTACACCTGAAACGTAATGAAGTACAGGAATAGAGAGAGTGACTACAATACGCTCTCGACCTGATATAGTGATAACGTGTTAGAAGGTAACAGGTCTACAGTCCCACCGTACCCTTCCGACACGACTGTAGACCATTAATTTTTTTTGAGAAGTTATACGTACACCTTAAACGTAATGAAGTACAGGAATAGAGAGAGTGACTACAATACGCTCTCGACCTGATAACGTGAGTACAAGACACTCTCCACCTGATAACGTGTTAGTAGAAGGTAATTGGCAACATATCAATGGGTTGCCTTACCGTGGTCTAGAGGAAACGTCTTCGCAGCAATATTTTCCCTCCAGCGCATTCAGTCGCCGACGCGACATCGTTTACTGGGCCGTTCCAGTTGCGGAAGACAATCGATTCATCGGGCCAATTCAGCAACAGGGCCGTGGACACACAGGGGGCAGAGGAGAGACATTGTTAGTGGACAAGAAAATAATATGCAGTGGCAAGTGGCGAGTGCCGTACGGATGTCAAGTTGTCATGCACAATTCAGCTACTACTTACGGTCCAGCTAGTCCTGCCATTGCTCGCTCGTCCTGGTTCCTCCTCGTTCGTCTTCCTGCACGTCTGCTCTTCTCCTTCCCCACCGTTGGCTTTGCGGTACGGGGGTGCCGGAAGGAATTCCCACCATATCATTGTACATGAAGTCCCACCATGTCTCCATGTACATGTCCACGGCCACGTCAGCAGTTTGTATAGTACCGGAAGGAGTTCCCACGATGTCTCCAAAGGCCTAGAGCGGACGTCTTTGCAGCAATTCTTTTCACCCTGCACATTCACTCCGCCGACACGACATCGTCGACAGCGTTTACGGGGCCGTTCCAGGTGCAAAAGGTCCACGTCAGTAGTTCTCAACTATTTCGCGTACGGGATAGTCGCCGCGACAGCGTTTAAGGGGTCGTTCCAGGTGCAAAAGGCATCCATCAATGGCACTTTGCAGTACGGGGTACGGAAAGGGGCTTCCTCGTTCGACTTCGTCGACTTCTGCATGCAGTTCTCCTTCCCGTCGACCGAAAGGGGTCTCCTCGCAGTTGTCCTTGCCGTCAGGTCCACGTCATGCAGTTCTCAACTATTTCGCGTACGGGATATTCGTCTTTGTCGTACGCGGCATCGGCGTTTACCGAGTGGCATTGGCACAAAGCAGACCGTTGACGGGGTCACGTGTCAAAAAAGTATCAACAACGTGTCGACTACGTGTCGACCACGTGTATAGCGGTACACTCAGCGGTACACTAATTCTCGTGCCATTCTCGTGTCACAAAACTGGAACATCGAGTACCAGTATGGAAAGGCTTCAGACAGGAAGCCTTTCCAATATACCCAATGCTGTAGACAGCAAGCTGTTTTGGCCATAAAGGCCTCATCAGTACAGCTACGAGCTAAATAGGCCGAGCTACCAGCCATGGCTAAAGGAAGCACATATATATATTCTAGGTGTCTATACCAAGGGTGGTCATATGGGCCGACAGGTCCACGATAAGGGTGGTTCTATACAGAGGGGTCCACACTGAGGGTGGTTCTATACAGAGGGGTCCACACTGAGGGTGGTTCTATACAGAGGGGTCCACACTGAGGGTGGTTCTATACAGAGGGGTCCACATTGAGGGTGGTTCTATACAGATGGGGGGGGGGGGGAGTCCACACTGAGGGTGGTTCTATACAGAGGGGTCCACACTGAGGGTGGTTCTATACAGAGGGGTCCACCAGTGGCGTGCACCGAGTCTTGAAAGGGAGGTTTCTTGAGTTGGAAATTTTTCTGTAGATATAGTTATGTATTTGTGCACATGCGCATCCCTCCAACATCCCGTCGGAGATAACCATGATAACGGCGAGGGCTAGGGAGGAGGGGGGGGGGGGGGACTCAAGATTAGGGGTGCAGGGCACCAATGAACACTGGTGCTGATGAGCAGGGGGGGGGGGGGACTCAAGATTAGGGGTGCAGGGCACCAATGAACACTGGTGCTGATGAGACGCGGGGCTCCGACTGCTATCATCAGATCATTCCGGCACAAACGCGTCTGAGAGGGAACCAGGTCCAGGGGTAGAAAGGACAGAAATAGGAGCAATGAGAAATGGAGGGAGGGGACGATTTTGCATGGAAATGTTGGTACATGTATAACCGGTAGCAGGATAAAATGGGTACGGGTTACCTTTTACATACCAGCACTTGAAAAAGTATTTGCAAAGAGGGTGCAAAAGTCGATGTACTCATATACATGTTTGTCATATTGAACAAGTAAAAGTTTGATAGGCCTAGCCGCCTAGGCTACACTACAGTCTATAACACTATGTCTATGGTACTTCACTAGTCCACTCCAGGCTTGTTCCTTTCATCAAAACACTGCTTACATTCGACGTATCTTTTCTTTCTGTTCTTATGACGAAGTTTTCAGCATGTATTGGCAATGTTCCACATGATTTCAATAAAGAGTTATGGACCTTGCTTCGATGGACGCTCGCGGAAGAAAAGCGAAGCCCTGCGTCCTTGATTCGCGGCCGGAGCAGCGCAAGTGGATCATGGATGCACATTTTTACGTCCTCCAGTCGACAACGTTTTTGACGAACATCTCTGCTGCGCACATGAGCGAGAACGAAAGGCTGTGGAGATCTTGATTTGAGTCAACAGTTTGGAAGGAAATATCGTCAATCATACCCTTGAACTGACTTGCATCGCGCAGGCTTGACTCAAATTTCGAGACAAAACGGATTTCTTGAATGTCATCGCCAATCCAGGAGCGAACCAGAGCTAGAGATCGATCTCTCTGTGGCTTCTCTCCACTGAAGAAAGAGAGAATAATGTATTTTGAACTGCATGCAAAGCAACTCTCTCTCACTTCGAAATAAGGACATAGTCACTGTACTGTAAGCTGCCCGTCGATCGACGTGTATGCAGGATAACCAATCCAGTAGGCACGCTTTTCCTTTGGCAAGATTGCCCGAAAAAAGGTGGTTTCCAGACACCAAAAAACTCATACGGTGCACGCGCCTGTCCACACTGAGGGTGGTTCTATACAGAGGGGTCCACACTGAGGGTGGTTCTATACAGAGGGGTGCACACTGAGGGTGGTTCTATACAGAGGGGTCCACACTGAGGGTGGTTCTATACAGAGGGGTCCACACTGAGGGTGGTTCTATACAGAGGGGTCCACACTGAGGGTGCCACGGTTCTATACAGAGGGGTCCACACTGAGGGTGGTTCTATACAGAGGGGTCCACAATGAGGGTGGTTCTATACAGAGGGGTCCACACTGAGGGTGGTTCCATACAGAGGGGTCCACAATGAGGGTGGCTGTATAGTACATGTATACCAGTAGATTGTCCGCCTTTTGCTACTAGGCAAATCCGTGTGCCCTGCTTCAACAGACCTCTACAGCAGGGTCTGGCCGTAACAGCTACTAACTGATTTCCTTTGTTCCTTGCACCGCACGGCAGGTGGTGGACCTACTCATTGCCTTCTATCGGGTGATGACAACAGCCATCCAGTGGCATATGCCGCCGGCCTTATATGGGGTAAGGCGACGTGATGCTAGATTGAGTTGTTCCTAATTCCTATATATGGGCGTGTAAAGTACACGCATCCATTAGCAGACGGTGCTCACACTGGTCACAGGTAAACAGTCATGACGATGACGTGGCCAACCCGCGGCGGCCAGCTCTGCTGTAAGAACTCAAAGAATCGAATGTGTCACTTCAGACCTCTCCGGTGTCATCACAATGCATAGCAATGGCGCGTGGTAGTCGGGGATGGTCAACATTTAGTTTCTCGGAGCCACTCTGGCACTTTCCTGTCCAGCATGCATAGACCTCAGTCAGACAACTCAGCTACCGTTTTATCCCCAATAAAGTACAGTCCTTTTTTTTCAAAGGTGGTCTGCCTTGTACTAGTAAAGGAGACTGTACTTTTATTGATTTTGGCAAGATTGATCGCCTGCCGTGGGCGTAAGGGTTGGTTCACATATCGCCGGTACGCGCCGGGAGTCACCGGGAGTGGGCCTCTTGCAACCTCTCCCGGCGCATTGCGATTGTGTGAACCAGTGCAGTCGTAACAAAATCATACGGTAAAATATCGCAAGGGACCGCCGGCAAAGTTGGACAGTGCCCAACTCTTGCGATCTGCCCGGCACCGATCCCGTACAAATTTGACCAAAAGTGGTTTGTGAACTGTTCGCGCCGGTGCCGGGAGCCAGACTTTGTCAAAATTCCAAACCAAGACTCATCCTAAATTTTCCTAAATTGAAGCTAAAGATGAGGTCCGTTCGCCATTCTTGTAGTCTTTTCAAGGTGGCAAATTAAGTCGGCATACCAACCCGTCCTTCTCGGATGATCTGCTTGACTGATGTGCAACTTATGAGACGAATACAATTGAAATAAATAAAAATACGAAGGATACATAGACAAGTTCGTGTGACTTCATCAACGTTTGAACGCATAATTTCGACACCACCGCTTACTAGACTGCAATAAAAAAGGTGTAGAAGTAGTTTCATGATCTCCAGTAAAAGGTAGCACCGAGTGGCCATCACCGAAAGACCTTGAACAACCGAAGAAACAAAGAATTTAGGCTTCAATTGGCAAACCTGTCGTAGCATTTGGGCACATTCTGTACTACTTTGTAGTAGATTTGGTACTCAAACCGTATGCGCAACGGATCGGGAGCTGGCTCACCGCCGATGTCTTGCGATGTCTTGCGGCGCCGATTTTGCTTATAGGAACCAACCCTAAACGAGAGAGCTTGAAAGCTCAGGGCCCTCACTATGCTTTTTTTTTGCGTCGGTCACCACTGCATGTTGTTCGAACTGATGGAACAGTTTTTGCAATACAATGATAAAAATAAAAATCCACCCACCCTCCCCATTTTTCTGAAATTCCGGCAGGACAATCATGAAGTACATGTATTCCCTGGCTTGGCCTAACATGGGATTCGAACCCGCACTATCGCCCTGCATGCATCTCCCCGATACACTTCACATACATACACATTCTTCCAAGCAATTAGTTGCTTCGCGTTATGATCTTGCAGTTGAAAGCCCTATTTGAATAAGGTGGCCAGCTGTCTTTTACAATAATATATTATTATAAAAATAAAAATCTGCTTGCCCTCCCCATTTTTTCTGAAAAAGGACTATCATTAAGTATATTCTTTGACTTGGTCTAACATGGGATTCGAACCCGCGCTATCACCCTGCATGCATTCCCCAGATGCACTTCACATACATACACATTCTTCCAAGCTGCTTCACGTTATGACTTTGCAGTTGAAAGCCCTCTTTGAATAAGGTGGCCAGCTGTCTTTTACAATGATACAAATATCAATCCGCCCTCCCTCCCCATTTTTTCTTGAAAAAAAGACGATCATGAAGTATATTCATTGGCTTGGCCTAACATGGGATTTGAACCCGCACTATCGCCCTGCATGCATTCCTCCGATACATTTCGCATACATACACATTCTTCCAAGTTGCTTCACGTTATGATCTTGCTGTTGAAAGCCCTGTTTGAATAAGGTGGCCAGCTGTCTTTGATGGTACGGTACGGGACATGTACGGGATAGCGCCAGGCATGCCGATGCTGTCCTTGATGGTACGGTACGGGACATGTACGGGATAGCGCCAGGCATGCCCGACGACACAACAAACAATTACCGAATTAAAGTGGTGTGGACCCTGGCTAGCGGCAGACGTTACTCAAGTAACTTAAGATGCAACCACACTACTTACAAAATCAAGTACATGTTTGCGTTCAGCTTTTCGATAACGCAAAGTTGCATCCACACTGTCATTTCATGCGTACGTTTTGTCCACGTTTCTGGGTCCCAGAAAATATAGCGCTGTGAAAATTTATGTATTACATGTACCGTAAAGTCGCGGATAAAAGCCGGCCTTATAAGCACATAAGCCGCTTTCTGCATCAGGCTTTAATGCAAACCATGCTTATATGCACCACTGATAATTTTGCCACGCGTAGATCTACCACTGACTACCGGTATGGCGGCAGTTTTACTATGCCTTGTTCTTAGCGCATGCACTCTTGACCTACCCGATCCGCGCTGCGGCATAGAAGCCAGGCTTATATGCATTTGACCCGTTTGATTTTCAGGCTTCTATCCGCGATGTGCGTGTACGCAAACCCGGCTTATATCCGCGACTTTACGGTACTTCGAAGTAGTAGTTTGAAAAAGAGTCGCAAGCGCCTTGACATACACGTTCAATGCCTCGGTCATCTCCTTCTCTCAGATGGTCCGCTCCAGGCTGTCATCTGGCCCTGCTTCGTCTTCTAAGTTCTGGTACGCTGCCCCAAGCTGCATGAGCTTCTCAGTTCGAGATCATCAACGAAATACAATGATTATGTACATGTACATGTAGTTGCGCAGAATGTCGGAAACTTACAACAGCAGGCAACAGGAGTGTCCGGAAAATATACTGAAAGCAAAGCCCTGGCACATGAAATCTCAAATACTACAAACTGATAAGGAAGCCGTCTACTACCGACATAGTGTAAGCCTCAACAGGAAATATCTGCCCGTATGAAGAACCGAGCGAAACGCAAGGAAAAGGCGAACAGTTGCTTTCTACAGGGGTACCCGGTTTGCTGAAAAGAAACGCAGTGCGTTTCGCGTTTCACACGCGTTTCCTTGACGACATAAGCAAAACGGTTGTGTTTACGCAGTTTTGTACCTACAGTCCATTCAGAAAAAGATGGACTTCTAGCTTTTGGCCATAAATGGGTCAAACTTTGAGTTTTTTTAGAATTTTTTTCTGCAATCCCCTATGGAATCCTCTTCCAATTATGTTTCTGAAGTTTTTTGTCCAAAAAGCAAGCCATAACAAGAATAGGATTTCGGCCAGGTTTTGCCCCAAAAGCACTGAATTGGGAAAAACTATAAAAATCCAGGCCGTGTGACCCCGCCTGCAACAGTGCATTGTGCGGTTCGAACCCCAGTTCAGGTACCCTTTTTGGACCCTTTTTCAAATTTCAAATTTTGCAGTACTGCACTGTGTACGATGAAATCACGAAAAATCGCCAAATACGGGAGCTCGCCAGAGCCAGGGCCCATCTTTTTATGAATGGACTGTAGTGTGGCTGCAGCCTAACGTCTTTTGCATAGCTACAGGAATAATGCTACTTTACAGCTGCGGATGCCTATGATACCACTCCAGCTAGGGTACCAGGCAGTGTAGAAACGCACAAAGAGGATTATTGGGTAAGCCTGTGTTTACATGAGGCATTTCAACCCGGGTTGAGTTCGACCCGGGTCAGATTTCAACCCGCCATGTACACAAAATGAGTGGTGCGTTTACATGGCGCATTGCGCTTGACCCGGGGCGAGAAATCATACTAACGTACTACTTAACGTACTACTTCTGTGCGTATCTCTCGCCAGGTTTGAACAGCAGCGCACAGGCAAATTTCGCGCGAAAGTATTCACGTCACCATAGAGGACTCTAGAAGTGGACTTTTGGCGGCATATCAGTATTTGACCCGGGCCAACTGTCTTCATGTAAACGTTCACCTATTTTGTCTATCGTACAGACTTTCAACCTGGACTGAACTCGACCCGGGTTGAAAATTCTCATGTAAACACAGCCTAAGAAATATGAAGCAAGGTGGACCCAGGTGCATGTACCCCAGTAATGCATATCGCATTATTCTAGCATGTACTACTATTGGAGATGTGTACTTTTATATTTTTTATCTACGCTCAACATGTATTTCTATTGGAGACGTACCAGTATTGGAGAGGTGTACGTTTATTGGGGGAAATACTGTTTTTTTTTAACTAGTACCATGTTGGATGTGATTGGTGGTGTGCTTGTTGCAATCCAGGACTTCATCCAATCCTATCACACAGAGCAGATCCTGGAAGGATGGAGACAGTACGAGTTGTACCAGCATGCATCACAGCCAGCTGCACGCCGAATATGGGGCCCGGACACCGAGCAAGTAAGTCGGTCGTGTTTCTGATGATGAGGAAATGGCTCATAGGACTAGTACTAGTGTAGCTTGAGTGCTCGGATTGAAGGGCGCATAGTGCCCCAGGTGCATGCCTCTTGCTCCGAATACCCCCCCCCCCTGCCACCTCAGTCTTGCCCATACCCCAGACAATGCACTGGCTGCTCAGTGACATAATGCTATCCACAGGTGGGTGTAGAAATTGTTAACAAGAGTATGTACCCCCCCCCCCCCCTCCCTCCTCCAGTCGAGAGTTTTCAACTCTGCACAAGTGAATATTATGGGGTAGGCTGACAGCGAAAGTGCACGTCACGCAGCGCAATGCTCCCGTTGTACATGTCTTGTGGGTGGGTTTAGTAGGCAATGGAGTAGTAATAATAGCACTCCCTGACTGAAAGCCAACTTTCCCCTGGCTGTTTGTGCACATTGCCATCCAAATCATTAGATGAAAGGTTATCAGTGGTTGGTCAGCTCCTTCATGAAAGCACTCCTCCGCTCGCCGTGTCAATCCAAGCACCTGGAGTACAGAATGGACGGCACTCTGAGAGCCATTGGCAAATGGGTTGAGGTAGGGAACTCAATTTTGACACTGAACGCTATGCGCGCCGTGCACGGTGGCGCATGGCGCATTATTTCTCCTGGTGCTAGTTCTCCCGTGCTGCCGTCATCAACGGTTACTGTCATAGTGCTATGTTCTGTGAGAATCCTCGCTATGCAGCACTGGTTACGTAAATCTGGACCTCTAGTCTTCTGTCCCACGGCCACGCTGAAATCCACGTTTTCACGCTTCGTAGAACACCACCGTTTGAATTTTGACGAAATTCTATTTGAGATGCGAGGACGTAATATATAGAAGTCACAAGTCCACACAACTAACCATGAAGGGCTGTCATCCCTCTTATTTTATCTCCATATGTGATACTGTAATGTTGTACAATAATTATGTGAGTATTCAGAAAAGCTAGTACATGTACTGATACGGGCTATAGTACTCTGCATGCATTTCTAAGGGCTATAGTACTCTGCATGCATTTCTAAGGGCTATAGTACTCTGCATGCATTTCTAAGGGCTATTACTCTGCATGCATTTCTAAGGGCTATAGTACTCTGCATGCATTTCTAAGGGGTATAGTACTCTGCATGCATTTCTAAGGGCTATAGTACTCTGCATGCATTTCTAAGGGCTATAGTACTCTGCATGCATTTCTAAGGGCTATAGTACTCTGCATGCATTTCTAAGGGGTATAGTACTCTGCATGCATTTCTAAGGGCTATAGTACTCTGCATGCATTTCTACGGGGTCGTCGCACAAGATTTTTGTCGTCCCTGAAACGAACATCGTTCATTTCGTACTCAGACCCTCACCTCCCTCTGAAATAAGCGCAGCTTGCTATGCTGGACGACGAAAATCGCATGCATGTACGGTGTACAGTGTCGGTCGACTTGCAACTTGGACTACCCCCCCCCCCCCCCCCCCATGAATGATGTTTGTTTCACGGACGACGAAAAACTTTTGTGACGACCCCTAATGCAGTATTTTGACGGTTGTAATTATGAGAATGCGATGGTTATAGTTATATGTATAGGGATATTTAATTTTAAAGAATGCAGAGTTACAATAACCATCACCGAGTGATACAATGTCATCTTGAAATGAATCACATCTGAGGAAGCTCCCCCCCCCCCCCCGCCCCTCACACAAACACACAGGCGTTATAGCAGGCATGTGTGCACACTTGCCATTGCATGGCCGCGGTGACTTACAACCCTGCTGTTTGCACACACTATCTGTTCAACATCCCAGGGCCAGACTGAGTATCCCGTGTACTCGATGGGCGTTGACTCAGTATTTGCGGAACGACTATATGACGAGGAGTGTGCTACAGCTGTCAAGACGGCACGAGCAGCCAGCAAGGGACGTGTTGGACCAGGCGTGTTCATGGCAACGTCAATGGCAGAGCAGAGTGACGGTGCATCTGCTGCTGCAGCTGCTCCTGCTGTTGCTGCTACCAAAAAGCAGCAGCTTCAGAGGCATCAGCAGCGACCACAGTTGGATGTGTCTCTGGATCAGTTCATCGCAGAAGTGTGCAGTGATTTGCACACGATTGGTGTTCACGTCAAGCACGATGTGCTGCTTGACCTGGCTATAACCTCCAAGGCGTATCATCGTAGCACATTGGTGAATCTGGTGTTGGACCACATGAACAATACCTATTATTAGGCTATTATTGCTAGTCAATGCATGCGGCGCAGAAGGCAAAACTCTACATCGATTGTAATCAACGGCAACCATCCAGCCATGGCCATGCCATGCCAAGGCACGGCACGTCGTCCAGAAGCTAAGCAAACAAGTACATGCAGCACAGTCCAATCGGATTGAGTGAGTGAGCATGAATCGTTTGCCGATGAAAGCAGCCAGGAAGAAGACTTCCGAGACTTAGGCCGATGACTCCGGCAAAGTGCAGTTCTACGTACGCCTACTTGCCTATTTTTACCGGTCACTTGGCACTGCTTGCATTACAGTATTCCTAATACACAACCAGTGCATTAGGAATACGGCTGCAACCAGTGGTGATTGGTGTCACCGCAGCTATGTTGTAGTCATTCTCAGGTCCATGCAGTTCAGCATTCAAATTAATTTTGACTTGAAGCGTACTTTGAACAATGGAAAAGAGGTCCATGCACATGTAAACAACTCAATATTATGCATTCTTGCTTTCGATATGCTACTTCAAGTATGTCTTCTACAGTTGAAGTTCTACTGCATTACAAATCACCGTGGCCATTATTATAATAATTATGTACTTATAATCTTAGGACAGCTGGCTGGCTGTGGCTGGATGTATTGGTAGACACGGATGTCGCATGGCCAATTGGTTACCTCAAGTTGTGCTTGTTAATGTTACCTTCATCGCGGCCCGGTTTTAATTAATTTATACTAGTACTAGTACCCTATCAGTTATTCATTATCTCCTGGCATGTCAGACCAGCTTGCTGTCTGTACAGCATTGGGTCATAGTAATTACATAGAGATGAGCTCTATATCTACAGCAGTCATCACCAGAGCATCAAGTAGCAATAGAGCCGTTACAGACCATAAGACCACACGTCTTGAACATCTAGGTAAATGTCCGATTGCATCTGTCCGTTAGCGGCCGCCGGCTGAACGTCGCTTGGCAAACCATGAGATGCTGTAGTCACCGTCTGCTCCTTGGCTGCAGATTCGAGTGCAGTGCGAGCCTCGGCAGGCTCTAATGCTACCTGTGAGCTACCGATACACTCTGTCGGCGGCACACAGACACAGATACTGGTGTGCAAAGAGGCTTCACTGGACTGCTGCTGTGGGACTGGATATTGAGTTAGTGGCATGTGCTTTGAAAGGGACGGAGCAACCAACGAGGGTGCTGCAGCCGTGTTCCTTCCTTCCTTGGCTTGCTCCCCACCGGTGGAGGCTGTAAGCAACTCTTGAACAGAAGTTTGCAGTGCATCCAACGGCAGGTACCCGTGCTGATCAAGTTTCCCTGCACCCCCATCTGAGTTCGCGGGTAGAGGCTGCTGCTGCCCCGGCGGCGACAGGAGAGCCGTTGAAGCTTTCTTGCGGGCGCGTCGATGTGCGGGCACCGGCAGTGCAAGATAGCCGCCACTGTCGCTGTGACCGGTGTCCATGGTGCTGGCGCTTGTGTCACTCCGCATGCCGTAGCCACTGTCTGTAGATGCGCTCGTGTCCACTCCAGAATAGCCGCCAGTGCTGACGTCACTGCTCGTCATCAGTGATGAGCCGCCACTGATGTAGGCATTGTCATCGCCACTGTCCGGCCTGCTGGTATAGGCGAGAGCCGAAAACGAGAATGTCGGTGGCTCGCCGCTGCTTGGAACCTCCCCTCCATCAACTTGGTCGTACAGGCAGTCGGGAAGGTGCGTCAAGCAGTCCACCAGCTCAGAGAACGAAGGACGTTCCTCCGGTCTTTCTGTCCAGCAGCTCTTCATTACTGTGTACCTAAGCAGCAGTGCATGCATGTATGCGTGGCAGGAGAAATGAGACCCTTGGCACGGTCATCGGTGCATTTAAGCCAGATTGTCAGCGGTGACACACAACCGTGCGCTCCAACAAGTAAGATGACCACGGTAGCATGCAAAACGCCACATATGCTGGAACGCCCAAGATTAAGACACAACTTGTGACACTTCTCATAGTTCCGGCAGATACTAGTACTGGGACTAGACGTGTGATCGGGATGATCAACATGGCTCGATTTCTGTCATATATTTTGTGCCGTCTTTCGACCCTAAAATTTATAATTTTTGCTAAATGCCTTCGCTGTGAACAAAAAAATTGTTTGTATAATCCTCTTTCACTTGGGTGTGCTGGAAGTGGTAAGGCTGTGAATGGTATGTCAATCTACACCATACTGTTCATGTAGATCGTGAGTATTTTTTAAAGGGGAAGTTAAGCCTAAAATTAAATTTCACCAGTTGCAGTCTTGGGGGTGCTGAGGCGAATGGTCTTGGTCCGAGGAAGCTGAGACGCTCCCTTCCTCCTTTATTCCCAATCGAACTCGCGCACTTCCACCGAAACTGGGTGACTGCGCCCTACTAGATGGGGATGTGTATGCAAAATGTCACTAAAAGCGCCATTTCGTTCTTATAAAAGCACGGATGACTGCGATTGGCCCATATGTTGTAGTCTTTTGGACGCTGAGTCGACTGGTTTTGGTCCGAAAAGAGTGCGATGTAGCGTTCGGCCCTTATTCCCAATCGAACATGGCTGAACAAGCGGTCACGTGCTCCTGTGTACACCCGAGTCACCTGGTCACTGTACCTGCAGGCTACAACTTACAGCATGTTTTTAAAAGCGGGTTTCTGTCACTCGAGTTGAACCTTTGAACCTTTGAGTTGAACCTTGATGTGAGTTGTCACCTGCTGGTGCGGAGACCAGGTGACTGGTGTACGAAGGAGCACGTGACCGCTTGTTCAGCCATGTTTGTTTGGGAATAAGGGCCGAACGCTGCATCACAGCTTTTTCGGACCAAAACCAGTCGACTCAGCGTCCAAAAGACTACAACATATGGGCCAATCGCAGTCATCCGTACTTTTATAAGAACGGAATGGCATTTTTAGTGAGATTTTGCATACAAACCCCCATCTAGTAGGGCGCAGTCACCCAGTTTTGGTGGAAGTGCGCGAGTTCGATTGGGAATAAAAGAGGAAGGGAGCGTCTCAGCTTCCTTGGACCAAGATCATTCGACTCAGCACCACGAAGACTACAACTGGTGAACATTTGATTTTAGGCTTAACTTCCCCTTTAAGTACACTTACAGCATGTTTGGACATCCTGCTGGGCATGCCAAGCGATTGTCGGCCTTCAGATAAGAGATCAGCTTGGAATTGGGAACATTGCTGTACGGCAGATCCGCTGTAACACATATCCACACACACACACACGCGCCCGAACACACAAACACACACACACACACACATACAC